ACCAACCACCATATTCCCTAATTATTCTGATAACCCTGTTCTAACTAATATCATGCTTAAATGTGCACTTAGTAATGTTGGAGAAAAGCTGGCCGCAATTAACACAGATGGGTCAACGAATGACGGAAGCACTGGCTGCGCTTTTTTTGTTGTAATCATAAACTATATAAACTACGAAAAAGGGTTTTCGGCATGCAAAGAAAGGCTATTCGAAGACTACCTTACAGAGCTGACTGCAAGTCTGCATTCAAACGACTCAGGATAATGACGTTCTATTCGCTTTATGTATATTCTTGCTTGTGCTATGCGAAAGCAAACTTACACTGTTTTAATACATGCAAAGATGTCCACTCACACAGCACAAGAAACAGCGAAAACTTACGCACTCCCTTCGTGAGACAAGCCACCTCACAATACGGGCCTAACTTCTGGTCCGTAAAGTTCTTTAATGCCCTACCCACTGAAATAAAAAATTTACCGACACATTTGTTTAAGAAACAAGTAAAGGAAACGTTGCTTTGCAATCCCCTATATTGTATAGAAGATTACTTTGTTGTTAAGTTTAAGTGTTAAGTTTTATTGTGTTCTCTACTTGACAATTGACATGTGTAAATATCTGCAGATAATACTACACGAATAAACTTTATTATATTATTATTATATTGAAAGTTACAGAATATCGTTAAAAATCTTATTATTGATTATAAAAAAGATAGTATAACAATTGCCTGACCTGGACCAAGGTGCATTGTGGAAATGAAGCTCAATATTGGAAAATAATGGAAAATGGCCCAATGCTTACTCTGCACTTTGAAGCAGATAACATTAATGAAAATTGTATGAATTTATCTCTTGTTACTTCGGCATTCTGTCACCAGGCTTCCTAAAGCTATTAAAAGTACAACACACTGTAGAATCCAACGACGCAGAAAAAAACGATCACTAATTTTCAATTGAAAACTTCGAACTTTGTTAGAAATCTAAATTTACTCAAATTTTTAAATTACCAACCCTATAAGTTGATCACCCTGTAGACTCTACCTATTAAGAATGTGCACCCCTAACAATCAGAAATTCTAATTTCATACAAAAAAGTTTGAAAAAAAGGAATCCAAATTAAGAGCTACCGTTACAGACAACGCCAATTAACATTATATGGGCGAAACATATTCAGTGATATTTTTTAACAATAGGGGTTTTACATACGTTGTTTTTCACTATCTCTACTTTTAATTAACAACATCTCTTTTAAAGGGCGCCTAATTTTGTGCAACTGCGTCCACAATAACTTAATATGACATTAATTAATTTGAATGTTGTTGCTTTGGCTTCACCGAAAATTAATCTCTCACGCTCCCTAAAGCTAAACTGTTACCGGAAATATAGGTACCAATTAACAACAATTTCTTTAGTATACACCGCACACGAACGAATAAAAATAAAGAAGCCAAAATTAATTAATATGACAGCCTGATGTTCATTTGTTTTAAAAAGTTATTTGGATTGCATAAAATGAGGCGGTCTTCTGAAGGATTTTGTCATTTAAAGGTAGACATTGGGAAAAACAATACGCGTAAATTCCTATGCCTACATCTTAATTGATATCACCGTAGGTATATTTAGGCCAGTAAACGGAAGCAATAAAAACAAAGGGAAAGATAAATAGGAATACATTCATTATTTTTAAGTTTGGGGATGGCAAACTTTTATCCTATCTCTTTTTGGTGCGTCACTTTGCATATAAATATAATGTAGGTACATGGTGAGGTGCCCTGCACCTGTTCGTTTAGCAATATAGAAGTTTATGTAAGATTATGTATGTATCTAATTCATTTTCGAATGAATCGCCAGTGAGAGCGAGTTGTGTGTGTCCCACTCGTATGAAACGAGTTTATATTCCACGTGTAAAGGGGTGAGTTTTGAATTTTGATTTCCTTTACAAAAGACGGGTATCCCATTGAGAAGTTTTCAACATTTTCTTCTGTATATACGTAATCTTTTGTTTTGAAGTTTTAGGGGTGAGAGGGTGCACTATTTTGAATTTATTACATATACTTTAAATGGAATTATTCCCTCGACTAGCCCTCTACATGAACATGTTTTAGTTTCCTTACGAATGTTCCATACCCCACAGAATCGTGCCAACTTCAATGGCCTTTTTTGTTCTAAAAAAAACTTGTGAGGTGTTAACGCTAAATTTTTTTGGGTGAGAATGTAGCACGGGGGGGGGGGGATAGTAAACAAAACTTAGTTTACCCTTTTTCGACCATCATCATTACCATCATGAAATGGTTCGAGTACTCGCATACTATTCCAGACCGCCCAGTTTTAGGTTTTTATGTAAAACTCTAAGCCCGAACAAAGAATTAGGTAATACGAGTATGAAGTAAATAAACGTAATTAAACAAATTGCGGTTAATAATGGTTTTTCTTTGACTACATCACAAGAAATTGTTAACAAAAATAAAGTGCAATGCTCCTATTATCAGCGTTAGCGTTTTGGTATGCAATAGCAAGCATCTTTGTTTGCAGCCCTACGGTTGCGCGTCACTTTGCAATAGGTTTTTGGAAATTAAAGGGGTCGTTTGTCCCTTACTTTGCTCGTAAATAATTTGAACTTTCAATTTTTTAAATGAATTGTTTCTCGGTATAGAAATTATTTGGGTTCACGGTTAGCTCTATTAAATTTTATATTTAGACTACACACGGAAAAAATTTGCTTCTCAGGGATCTCGAAATTGAAGCTTATTTCTTTTCCGGAATGTAGGAAATAAATAGAAAAACAAACATTTTCCCAGTCACTAATCGAATTTGGACACTTTTAAATTTCCAAAGTAGTAACAGACTATTTTTAACTAATGCTGAAACCCTCCTTGGCCGCTTCTTCTTTTGCTCCTGTGTACCAGCCACGGGAGCGATCTATTATGTGTTGGAGGTCGGAGTTGTCCATCCTTTGATAGATTTTGTCGGCCAGCGATCGGGTGTGCTGCGAGGGTGTCTATTTGCTGGTCCCTGCCTGATGGTGGTGTTGAAGACGAAGTAGGGGGCTCTGGTTATCGTGCGCAGCGCGATGGATTGTACCGCTTCCAGTGCGGTGGAGTTGAACTTCGAGACATACGCCTTCCAGCCTGCAGATGCGTATATCAGCACGGGGCGAACGTAACTCTACACAGGTGTACCTTCGTTCTTGGCGCCAGCGCTGGGGATGATAGTTATAGAGGGTACAATCTAGATCTTTCCCTCCGTCCTTTGGCGATCGTGTCGGCTACGTGTTGGGCGAAGTTTAGTCGCTTGGCGCTTCTTGTCTGATGAAAAACATTTTTGAAATCCCAACTCAACTCAATATGAAACTCCCAAAGCAACAATTACAAGAATTTCTTAGAATCCCGTCCTAGCGCCTTATGACTTCGATCGTGCCCTTGAACTCGAAGAATTGAGTTAAGGAGCAGCGTTTCCAAACTCGCAAGGAACTGAAAGAATTTGTCACAGCTTACCATCATTGGCAGCAAAGTTTTATGAAGAAAGTATTCACTTATGCGACAAATGCCTCTTCGTCAGGGTGAGTAACCTAGATGATACATTCTTTTTTGGTTTTTATCTGTATTCTCTTATAGGAAGTTTACCGGAAGTTAAAAAAATAGCCTTCTGTTCCACTTCGTTTGAGATCGTTCCTCGGAATACCGTAGTGCAATTACTACAAATGGATTGAGCACAGGGCGTTGGCGAAGGCGTTGGTGTCTACCTATATATTCGATGGTGGGCCATCTGCATTACTACAGGAAAGACCACTTGTAAGTTAAGGTAGACAACTTTGTTTCTACTACATTACAAGGGTAGGTACTTCCTGAAAAGGGATGAACATTGCTTTCTTTTATTTCCTCCCTTCCTAAATAAACTTCACAATAGTACATAATACCAAGGGACTAAAGTGTGCGTTTTAATCCCCAAAGGGGCCTCGTACTTCAATAGGTATTTCATCGCAGATAATGTGCCATTTTATTGACTTTTTGTAAATAAATAATGCGCGAAAATTTTTGGAGTAGTCATTTTTTGGTAAAGTGCAAAGGCTATTCTTGCCTATAAATTAGGATGAAAAACGTATCAAGTGTCAAGTGTCAAGCGTCAAGCATCAAGTATCAAGTGAGAAGCTTATGAGATTTTAAGAGAGATTTAAAAAAAGTGATTCAAAAAAGTCAGGAGAGATCCAAAAAAGTTAGTAGTGAATCAAAAAAGTTAGGAGTGATTCAAAAAAAGTTAGGAGTGATTCAAAAAAGTTAGGAATGATTCAAAAAAGTTAGGAGTGAATAAAAAAGTTAGGGGTGATTCAAAAAAGTTAGGAGTGATTCAAAAAAGATAGGAGTGATTCAAAAAAGTTAGGAGTGATTCAAAAAAGTTAGGAGTGATTCAAAAAAGTTAAGAGTGATTCAAAAAAGATAGGAGTGATTCAAAAAAAGTTAGTAGTGATTCAAAAAAGTTAGGAGTGATTCAAAAAAAGTTAGGAGTGATTCAAAAAAGTTAAGAGTGATTCAAAAAAGTTAAGAGTGATTCAAAAAAGATAGGAGTGATTCAAAAAAGTTAGGAGTGATTCAAAAAAGTTAGGAGTGATTCAAAAAAGATAGGAGTGATTCAAAAAAGTTAGGAGTGATTCAAAAAAGTTAGGAGTGATTCAAAAAAGTTAAGAGTGATTCAAAAAAGATAGGAGTGATTCAAAAAAAGTTAGTAGTGATTCAAAAAAGTTAGGAGTGATTCAAAAAAAGTTAGGAGTGATTCAAAAAAGTTAAGAGTGATTCAAAAAAGTTAAGAGTGATTCAAAAAAGATAGGAGTGATTCAAAAAAGTTAGGAGTGATTCAAAAAAGTTAGGAGTGATTCAAAAAAGTTAGGAGTGATTCAAAAAAGTGATTCAAAAAAGTTTTTTGATTTAAAAAGGAATGTTTCAAAAAAATAAAAAAAAATTTTAAACTTTTTTATTGTATTTCTCAATAGTTACATTTGTGTAATTTTTAATAAAGTTTAAATATAGATTCTCTTTTTAATTAAAAAAATTTCGTTTACTTTAATAGTTTTCATTGTTTTTTTGCTGGGGGAGACTGTCTTGTGTTGAACTAGTGCCAGCTGCCAGCAAAGTGCAGTTAGGGCAGTACAATATTATTCTAGAGATGAACAAATGTAATAAGTTTCTTTTTTTGTATTACAAAGATCTTCTTGTAACAGTGATAACTTAAAAAATAAATAACTTGATAGGTACGTATATTTTGTTCTCAATTGAAGCTACTAGTACTTAGTGAAACACCATAGTCACTTTGATTGACTACTAGTAGCTACCTTAGAGTAATCCTCGATGACGGATGGACCGGAATGATGATGACAGCGCCGAATTCGAAGTGGTGATGGTAAATAGTACTCACCCCTACAACAATAAGATTATCCAGTAAACGTGTAGACAGGATTTCATTGTCCTACCTAAGAATGTTGGTCTTTGTTGACAACTGCAGAGTTGACTAGTTCCTTCGGTCTTCGCATCGGAAAAGTGTCGTTGTTTTAGAAGCTAGCGATGGAGGTAGGTACTTACTGCTTAAGACCGGCTAAAAAGTGAAGTCGGATTAGAATAGTATATTGAAAGACAAGTGTTACAATGCGACCTATTGTAATACGACCATCTTGTGGCACGAGTGGCGACGCGAAGCGTAGCCACGAGTGTCCGCAAGATAGGAGTATTACAATAAAGCATTGTAACACGCGTTTTTCATACTATTTTTTCTATTTCGGTGCTTTAATTTAATTAAAAAAATCATTATCAGAAACTATAGGGAACATTAGAACTAACATGTTTTATGTTGGGAACACTTTTTATGCCGTTAAGTTTTAGGTTGGCAGCGTAGTAAGACTGACATTTTGAAGTTCAAACATGGAAGTACCCAACGAAGTACCTACTTGTACTAACTAGTAACTGCCAACTTAAGAGATGAGTTACCAAAAAAAAACGACTACAATCACTGTCTTTGTACAACTGTTTTCGGCCGAAACAGTTGTTACAAAATCATCATTGTGACACCGAAATAGAAAAAAGATCTTTTGATGGGTAAGTATATGTATCCCAAAATAGCTGATATATTTATGAAATAAATCAGATCAAATCAGTTGAATGTGGCCTGTAGAATCCATAATTTCAAACAGTTCCAAGATTGGGCTACTAGATCAAAAGTTACAGCCCTTAAAATTTTCTTTAGAAATTGGTTTCTAGTCCATAACTTTTGATTGAGAGGTCTAATCGAAAAAGTACGATTCGTTTTGGATTCTACGCACCAAAATTAATAAGAAAAAGTTTTTTCCCGAGAAATTTTGGTGTAGTCGATTTTTGGTGAAAAAGGAAGGTTATACACTGCCTTTTTTTGAGGCTCTAAAAAAATTGTCTTAGATCGACCGGGAAAAAAACATTTTCTTATAGAATGTGGCCTGTAGAATCCATAATTTCAAACAGTTCCAAGATCGGGCTACTAGATCAAAAGTTACAGCCCTTTGAATTTTTTGTCGAAATTGGTTTTTTGCCCATAACTTTTGATTGAGACGTCTAATCGAGAAAGTACGAATCGTTTTGGATTCTACGCACCAACATTAATAAGAAAAAGTGTTTTCCCGAGAAATTTTGGTGTAGTCGATTTTTGGTGAAGAAGGAAGGTTATACACTGCCTTTTTTTGAGGCTCGAAAAAAAAATTGTCTCAGATCGACCGGGAAAAAACATTTTCTTATAGAATGTGGCCTGTAGAATCCATAATTTCAAACAGTTCCCACATCGGGCTACTAGATCAAAAGTTACATCCCTTTGAATTTTTTGTCGAAATTGGTTTTGTGCCCATAACTTTTGATTGAGACGTCTAATCGAAAAAGTACGAATCGTTTTGGATTCTACGCACCAACATTAATAAGAAAAAGTGTTTTCCCGAGAAATTTTGGTGTAGTCGATTTTTGGTGAAAAAGGAAGGTTATACACTGCCTTTTTTGAGGCTCGAAAAAAAAATTGTCTCAGATCGACCGGGAAAAAACATTTTCTTATAGAATGTGGCCTGTAGAAGCCATAATTTCAAACAGTTCCCAGATCGGGCTACTAGATCAAAAGTTACAGCCCTTTGAATTTTAATAATTTCCATAAAATGATTAACGTTCGACTGTACCTTACTTTCAGACTTGCGGTGAGACGACCCTGGTGGATGTTGCGAAGATGATTTTACTGGACAAACGGGTGCCAGATGTCCTTTCTTATTGCAACGATCACAAGAATAGTCGCGGTACTTGCAGTCTTTTGCCATATGGATTGATCGCCCACAAACCGTCATTTACCACGTAACTTGTGGCGGCTATCGGGACTGATATGATGAAGGTCGGGTTCCCCTATAATAAATTGTCCAATCACTGTTTTTGAAACTAAATTCTGGTAAATGTCCAACACTTGCGGCACTGACAGCCATTGTTTAACCGATGCACAATTTATTTGTAAATGTTAACAATATCCTTTAAAAACCCTCGTCGCGAATTTTGTATTTGAACGGAGCCAGAGAAGGAAACAAACATGTTACTCTACACAGCGTTTATTCTATACTGAATTGTACGGGGAAGTCCGATATCAATTTTGGGAAACAACTGGGAAACTTTCAAACTTTTTTGAAACCTTTAATTTTTTGAATCGCTTTTTGAATTCCTTTTAAACTTTTGTGAACCACTTAAACTTTTTTCAAATCCCTTAAAAATTTGTTTGAATTTTTTATTTTTTGAAACTTGAATTTTTTTGAATGTATTTTAGTATTAAAAAATTGACTGGACTAACAACTTTTTTGTATTTTGCAGACATGGTTTCCTTACCGCACTTTTCGCCGTAAACTTCCACAGAGAAAAAGATGACCACGAAGATGGCGTTAGAACAATAAAAATATATTTTTAAGTGAATATAATTTAAATTGTGATTGAAGGTGTACACTGTGTCTTTGTTAATAAATTTTCACCATCAAAACTTTACTTTACCACTGCTCTATTTCTACAAAGGGCAACCAAAGTGATGATGAGAACCCTATATGAAAATGGAGGTAGAACACACCTGTGTATTTGAGCAACTCCATTTTGAATTAGAAACCTCCATATGACAACCTTTTCTAACGACTGGAAAGTGGCACCGGGATCGATTCGATGGCCTACCACCCCATCTCAGGCATCTTGGCCTAAAATTAAAATAAAAATAAAGATGTAGGTAATGGAAGTACTTGACGCGCCTGTGTATTCCGTTCCAAAGTGCTGTTGGGTCGGTTACAGCCCCTTGAATTTTTTAACGAAATTGGTTTTTTGTCCATAACTCTTGATTGAGACGTCTAATCGAAAAGGTACGAATCGTTTTGGATTCTACGCCCCAAGATTTATAAGAAAAAGTTTCCCCAGAAATTTTGGAGTAGGTTTTTGATACAGATGACGCCTGAGATGATGCGTCTTTTCGTTTGATTTAGTTACATCTAAGCACAAATTTGGATTCATTTACTGTTCAATGTCTCAAAAGCAGTTTGGTCGCATCAGAAGGTCAGTTTAAAATAAGTAATGTCTGGAAAAATCCCTTTTGATGTACCTACTTATTTGCAAGAAAAATGTAAAAACTTACCCTTTACACGTGGAATATAAACAAGTTTCATACGAACGCAGCACATGCAGCCGCACTTACTGACGATTCATTCGCAAATGACTAATATAAGTACCTACTCGTACATACATAATCATAACTGTAATGGTGATAAACAGGTCACCCGAACACGTGCCTAATTATCCTTACATACAGGATGGTGCACCAAAAAACATCCACTCTTAGGAACTGGGGAACGAAGTGGTTTTCACTAAACGTGTCACCACATCAGATTATTTAATTTATTTAAATTAAAGTTGTGAAGCAAACATTATATTGCTACTGAAACGCACAAAATGGACAAAAAACCGATTTAAAGAAACGGCAAATTGAATTTTGTTTGTAACTTTTAATGTAGTCGCAAAATCACGAAAATTTTAGATTACACAGCCCAAAATATACAAGAAAATTTCCTCTCCCGGTCGATCCGAGATTCCAGCCGTTTTCCGACAAAGTTTGGAGGCAAGAGTATACAGGTTGTTTCGCGTAAACCATTACGTAAAAGTTTTCAGATTCTCCTTGACACATTAAAGGATATTCATTTGCTGAATTACATTAAGATCCACTATTATCATTTATGTAACCCTATTTTGTTAATTGATGACATACTCTAACGACCATTGCAATGAATGGCATGAAAATTGTATAAATATATAGCATGCCTATAGTAATGAACCATTCATTCCTGTACGTGTACGATCACCAGAAAAGGCCGAAGTGTACCTGCGGTAGGTGGGCTACAAATTAAATCAGCTTCGCGGTCTAATAAGAGAACTATAAAGTAAATTATCATTGCAACAGACAAACATTGTTTGAAATAAATTTATGACCGATGAACATGTACGAACGTACATTACTCATTGCCCGACACGCGAAGTTGCTATTTAAGTAAAGTAACCGATAACTTCAATTTTACTTATCTATAGAAATAATTTGATATCTGAAATGCCGAACATGAAATTCGGTCATAAATTACGCTACCATATAGAGATGGAAGTTAATTTTTTACAAAGTAGCTATATTTAAGGATCGAAGTTCAGGACTTGCAAACTTAAAATAATCTATTATAGAAAGTTTAGCAAATTTCGTATTCTTGTCGCTAAGTTTTCTACAATTAAAACCATTTTAATCCACTAAAAGACTTTCGGAAATTAATTTTTTCTCCCCGCACGAAAAAAGTTTATTTATTCTAGAAACTTTACACGTAAGTCGATTTAGTGAGAGATTACAACTTTTTATGAGAGGATAAAGTTATTGATATTCCCAATATTTCGATACACGCGCAACGGCGGTAGGATTTAGATTTTCGGGCTTAATTCTATAATGTGATTCAATTCGCAGAGCTCCACAAAGACGTTAATTTCGCAAATGCCAACATGAACAAAAACTGGGATTAACTTGGATTGAAAGGAGTATGGCGGAAATTTCGTATAGGTACAGTTAAAATGTGCAGGAAATTTTGGGAATGTTAGTCTGAAATATCAAATTGGGCGATTTAATTTTACTGTGAAAGTTTTCCATCATAAGGATTTTTCGAAATATGACGCCTTGATTTGAAGCGTTACTTCAAAGAATTGTGTTTGCTCCGAAAGTTGAAGGTTCACATTTCAAGTTGGAAATTTAACCCCTATAAGGTTTGCCGCAGTTGATGTTTGAAGGTTCAAACGTGAGCACTGCATCGTCGTCACTTCCGAGTGATTGCAATTTCAAGCTGAAAGAACCTCAACACTTCAAGCTGAATTCTCGAACGTATCAACTCTGAACCTTGAGGTTTAATTAAATTCTGAAGCTTAACATTTAAATGAGTAGACAATTTTGGAACGCCTGGGAAAATAAGGATAAAAGTATCGTTTACCTTAGCGTAAAATTCCAATTCCAAACAGTTACATGTGTGTTAAAATTCAGACCATTACTTTGGACTGTGTGCCTAAATGAGACGCCATGATTGGGTCGAAAATTAAGTTCCCCACAAATTCGCCGTTTAAAGGACAAAACGCAGTGGTTTTATAAAAAGAAAAAAAAAACAAATTCCATTACTTTGGACCTTATACCAGAAACTGACTGAAACTCTTTCTGGCAATTTAAAACCTTACAATAGGAAATATCTCACAAACAAAAAATGGTCAAAACCGTTTCTAGGATAGAAATGGACTTGAAACTTTGGTGTCACTTTCAAGTCGAGGTTGCTAAAATGCTAAAACGCGTGTGGTGCTTGTTTTAGTAACTATTTTAGAGTTACGTTTCAAAAGAATCCAAAAACAAATCTTTTAAGTACAAAATTCATAGAAAAACTTTAGAATTTTAAAAAATCTCACACAGGACTACAATCTACAAACCGTTTATTTTAATATGTTATCAAACTTACAAGAAGCAGAAGCATCAGTAGTAAATTTTGGAAATGTCTAAGAAGTTTTCAATACCTATTTGGGAAATGTTCGAGTTGAAACAATAGTTATTTATTATACAAGCACTTTAGTTTATAGCAGAAGCCATATGAATCATTATAACACTTCTGAAAATTCTGTAGTTGTTAATAATATACTCGTATGCTATATAATATATAGGATTGCTCGATCACGAAATTTTTTCAATTGCATTTCATTATTCATATTATGTTAATTCTAATAGGTCCAAATGGATTTTGTAGTTAGGTATTTAAATTAGAAACACGTCTACAAGTCGATAAATTCTTCTTCAGTGTTTTGCTTATTGAAAGTGTCGTTCGTGTTCTTCATCTTCCATGAAAATTACAGCTAAATCAGTTATTGCAATTGCATTGTTTATGACACTGGCTAAAATGAGCGCCAGTTGAGTGTAAAATGTTATAACACTAAATGTAAAAACAACTTAGCGAATTATAACATTCAAGTCTGACAGCCAGATCCGTTGGTGGTCATATTAGGGTGGGGGCACCATCACGATTAGGGATCAGGCAAATCCTATATTATATATCATCCTTGGGTATTCAATTTAGACATCAAAAATAGCAAGTTTTAGTTTCTCCCGTCGTTTCCATGGAAACAATATTGTATTCTGCTCTAAACTTCATTTTATATAGTGTTCCGCGTCCCATTTTGAATAAAAATGGCAAATGTCATTGCAATGCACAATGACTTGTTTCACTTTATTTACCTTTGTGTCGTTAAAGTGATCACTATCTACTCTTACTGTTAAAAAGATAGACTTAGGTTACTTATTCAAACGTATTAAAATTTAACATCTGCTTTGGAATAATTTTTATAATGTACATGTATTCGAATTCGAACAATCTGTTTGATAAACCTCACATGGAAAGGAACCCAAGAACCGGTATCTGGTGACTGATCTATTTCTCCACTTTTGCCAAGGCCAATAAAGACGAATGAATTTACTGCAAAGTCGAAAGTGAACAAGAGGACGCCTGGTTTGCGGCTGTTGTCGCACAACATGGCGATAGTTTCTGACCTCGTGCTTGAAGTCCCACAAAACTAGGGTTCAAATCACGATGCCAGAGTAGAAGTTAAGTTCGAGGTTCTGTGTAGTGTATGATTGAGGTTTAATTAATTAACTTCAAAGAAAATTGTTAGGTATTATAAAAGCGGAAAATAAAAACCCAATTAATGAAATAAAAGCTACGGTAAGTAATTAATTGAAGTACTGACCGTGATCAAAGACGGAGCGAAAAATAGCTTGCGCACGGCGTAACTGTTAAATGAAAACTGATTTTGCGACGTGGATGTTTCCCACAAAATCAAAAGTGTGAGGTCCTTGACCGTGCGTCGCATAATGCGATATCAACAACCTTGCAAAAGTTCTCCCAATTATTTGATATCGAAAACACTTTACCGTTGAAATTAATTACCCATGCTACCCCGCAAACGCACCATTAAAACAATAGTGACGGAAAAATTATAATTACGAACTTTTTGATTACGGGTTTACCAATTACGAAGTAATAAGAAATGTACCCGACTAATCTGCAAGTAGAACGTGATTTCTTTTACGGGAAAAGTGAAAACCCATCTTGTATTTAGAAATGTTAGAGGTTCAACACTTTGGAGCTTGTATTCTTGAAAGTGACTCACGGGCATTACGTTTGGGCCGAAAATTTGGGGCCCCAATTTGAAAATATACCGGTTGTATGGAAAGGAACATATTTCGTCTGTTTGAGATTCATATATCCTTATTGGATTATAAAACGGTGCTTTTGAGCCGAAGCTGTCCCAACATTTCCTTGAGTAGTGTAGGTACCACAACTTCTCTGGTGAAACTCATTGGAACGTTCCATGAGTTTGAGGTTTGGAAAGGTTTCAAGCTTGAAGCGTTGTTTCCAATTTTGGACCGAACGTGCTCAAAACTTTGAGCTGTATTATTGTTTGTGGTACAAGCAAACATAGCATACAAACTTGAAAAATCGTAAGGATTTGAAAGAAAGCTCCAAAATGTTGGTTTGCATGTACCTTAATTTTGCAATGAGGAGCAGTGGTTCTATAGAAGTTGGGAAAATTGTATATGTTTCAAGTTCAAGCCATCACTATAGACTCGATATAGACCACTGCAGTGTTAGCGCTTTTATGGGCCAATAACGTCTTACTTTTTAACGTATAGGTGCCCTAATCTCCTCTAGAGATAATTATTGCGCAAAATGTTATCTGTTTGAAATTCAAGTTGGGTATACTGTTGACTATACGCTTGAAAATCACTCAATCTTATGGTTTTGGCGCTGTGCTTCGACCAAAAGTGGTTTTACGGAATTTAACTAAGATTGTCGTTTATATACGAGAGACGAGAAAAAAAGACGCCTGTTGTTGAAGTTCGATGCCGAACCGCTGTAGAAGTTTAATTTCGCCCAGTTTTGTGGCCGACTACGTTTTGAGTTGAAGAAGAACTGCAATCAAATTCAAGTTTTGTATTTCGTCTAAACTTTACTACGATTACGTTACGCCAGACAGAAGAAGCTGAAGGACCAAGTTTGTGCGTGTCACGGTTCATCAGGTGTCTGTGGTCTCAATTAGTATAATTAGTTATTTGAGTTTACGAACCTTATTTGGATATTTTGTCTAGAAGAAGAAAACTGTTTCAGTTGGTAGTTTATTGTAATATTGTTCTGAGCATTCATGTCCATTTTAACAGGATTGTACCTATTTATTTTATCTTGTGTGTGTAAAATAAAAATTATCTGTGTAATTCACGCAAGTTGTGTGTTAATTCGAAGTTCAAACCCTAATTCATTATCCGACGGTTCATGTTCAAATTACGACTAATTTGAGTGGATTCTAACCCAAAGTCCATTTTTTGTCTTAAGGTCAAAGTCAAAATTTAGTTAGTCCGTTTGGAATTGAAGGATTTTGAGCTTGTTCGCTGTCTGTCGGGAATAGAAAACCGAACTGAGGTCAGGATTGAATCATTTTTCTGTATGGAATGAGGATCTGTACCGGGAAAGTTATAATTCTGGAGCGAGCTAGGTTTGAAGCGTTTTATGTATGGTCCTTTTCGCCGGTTGATTTAATTTGCTTGTTAAACTTAGGAGTATTGACGCTGCTCGAGGACCAAACCCAAGAATAGAAGCAAATAGAACCCACATCACAAATTAGAGTGAAGGGCAGTGGTGGTAAAAACTGACGTATTTAGGACAGAATTTGAGACAAGAGTAGTAAATGGTCAGAACTTAAAATGTGCGACTCTCGGGAACGGATTGTTTGGGGTGGGCACTGAGAACAAAGGGGAAGTGGTAGTTACATTTTCACAATTACCTATTTTATATATCTAACAGTTAATCAAACCGGAACTACATTTTTTAGACATTTTCGTTTTTTCATAGACAGAAGTTAGCATAGAGGAAATGTTAGCCTCTGCATAAAAGGCCTGTTCATCAGATAACGCGACCTTTTTGTAGCGTTATGCGTTGTTCGTCATAACTTTCCGAGCATCCGTCTACTTGCGAACTGTTCACGTCTAGCATTTTTCTCAGGTTATTGTTGTACAAAAGGTTTCAACCCTCCTGGCGATTTTTGGGAGCAACAAGGGAATTTTGCTTGCAGTTGGAGAAAAAATTTACTGAAACATATCGACTTTTAGACAAAGTTGGTGATAAAGTGATCGTCAATCAGTGCAAGAAACCCTCCAATCTCTCTACAACAGTACAGCCCTCCCATTTCCGAAAATTGAAATCCATGCCAAAAGAGCGCTGTTTTGGCACCACTAATCACGCTAAATCACAACCTCGCCAGAACTGAATTGGAACCACAGCTTGGAAGTGAATAGGGGAGGGGACCAATACTATTAAAGTTCTGTTATATGATGAACAAGCCTGTAAGCCTAAAAATCAAAAAGAAACAATTTAAACTGAATTACTGAAATTTATTACGCAATCTCTAAAATTTAGCATATATACAATAAACCATCTATATTAAAATGATATGGTTAATTAACAATATGCCAATAGATGAATTGAGAACTCTGGACGGTACTTCACAAATAAAACTGCATTTACAATTTACATTTAGCAACAATTCGTCTAATCCTTACATGCTGCTGCATTAGACTAGAACTGTAAAAAATATTTCATTTACATAAATTAAAAAATACTCTTACGGTACAAATTTTAACAATCATCCATCCAGCGGAATATGCAATAAATACCTACTCAAACTTTATTCAAAAAATACTGAAATCTAACACACAAAGATCACTAAACGGTGCACTATTTCACTAACAGTATAGGATTTGTCATGCTCATGGTGAGAGTTACATTAATAGTGCTCACTTCCTAACTTTGTTATAAATTACACTTAGAACATCTACAGCTAGCCTAATAAAGTAGAAACTTTCTCCTCAAACGCACCCCATTTAATAAACAAAGAAAATCAATATCACATTATTTTCGGTAACCTCAAAAATTCAGTCTTACTTCTTTGATAGTTGACCAAATTTGTTTAAAATAGTTTTTTTTTAAGAAAAATATTTTTTAACTTTCCCTTTTATAACAATGAGGTGCAATATTTACACATTCTGGCGGAATCACAAGTATTTGTTTTTAAGCTAATGTATTAGGGGTAGTTCACCTGTTAAAGAGCGCTAATGTGACTACAACTAAAAGTGCTCTAATACTCGATGATAGCTTCTGTGATGCGTTGTAAGGATATGAAAGGCCTTCCGTGTGAAAGCCTTCTATGTGAAATCCTTTTTGTCTGCAATCTTCCGCGCTGAAGTCCATACAATGCATCTGAAACAGAATGTTTGATGTAAAATAATTGTAGGCGGAAAGATATAAATAAAAAAAAGAGATGAATCCAAATTTTCTTTAAGGCGATCACGTAAACGTAGTAATTCGTAGGGGTTTGCATTTTAGATATCTATACGCGAGCATTATTTATCATCTTGCTCGAATTTCCCTTACACGTTCAATAATCAATATGAATTGTTTTACAAAAGGAAAAAGAACAGACGTGTTAATTACACCAGTTGAAATTAATGACGGCACTTGTAAAACCATCGCGTGTATGGAATTGGGTTATTTAAGTTTAATTAATTTCTTATTACTTATACAGATGCTATCAAACTAAAAATTATGGCATTACGTTTCTAGTGAACTGCAGGTGCCGAAATAAAAATTTGGTACACAATTTTCAAATGCCCTTTTTTGTAAACAACGGTAATTTTTCTTTCCCTGTACAAACCTTCAGGGAATCAAGGGTAACCGCGATTAACAATTAAGTAAATGAATTGTAATGGAAAACTTAAGTAGGCTGCTGAGGATTTTCTCGTACCAAGACGATACTTAACAATATTTTTAAGAAATTTTCTTTACAAGAAGATTACTAGAAAAAGAATAGTTTCCATAAAGAATTTCTAGGATAAATTCAAAAAATTGTCTCAAAAAATTTTTGAAGCGGACATTACCGAGATGATTTCTACTGAAATTTCCAAGAAAATCCCTGATGGGTAGATTTCTAGAGAACGGTTTCGAAGGGAATTTCTATAGTAGGATTTTTAAGAAAATTAGATTAATTGCTACACTTAACTGAAAAATAGCAATTTGCCAGTAAAACTTTTAATTAGGATAAACTCCCGATTAAAGCCAGCAAATGTCAATTGAAAGGATCAGTTATAAAACTAAATTGTATGTTAGGTACAAATCTAATAGTCTTGTGCTTATGGACGTTTCGTTCCGCGAAAGAAAAACCGAATGAAAAGGCGACGAAATCGCTCCCTCGCACTGAAATGAATGTAATTATTCTTTACAATTAACAAGATCCTCGTAATAATTAGTATGAATGGCCACGGTCGCATTAATATTTTTCTATGGGCAGACACGAATTATTTGAAGTCACGTTCGTTTGATGCTTCTTACCTTAATCATGGATGAGGCCATTTGATCCAGAAATCTTCTACTAAATAAGGCTGCGTCTTCACCGCAGGACCTCCTAATTGTTTGCGTATAACAATTAAGGTACTCTTGGAACGAGCTGAAACAGAGTAAATAATTGAAATTCGCAAAAAATTTACATTACATAAATCTGAGGACATATATTGCTAAGCGTGCGTACAAAAAGGTTTTCCATGTCATTTACATTAAAATACGTACAAACATTTTTGCATTCGGTTTCCTTTAATGTTGACCAACCGCATCCCATGCTAAATTCGACCCCGTTTTTTTAAATTGAGAATAATTACGAACCGACGCTCATCAATACGGGAGTCAGATACAAAAGAAAATTTGGACCAAGTTGTACAAAGTTATAATAATACCGAATACGTATATCTTCTTTATTATCCCATTACAACTTCCGGTAGAATGAGGAGCGATTAATTTTGAACGTCTTGTTGGTTTTTGTTCTTTTCACAGACGCCCAGACGACGCTTTTCAAATGTTAATACCGAATTATAAAGAGGGGAGTTTGTTTCACTATTGTTACATTATTTCACTCATTAAATATTGCCCGAAATCACCCTTTTCCAGTCCGAGAGTGATGCGCTTCCATTTTGGATCACGTTCAAGGCGACATAAAAATAGGTAAAATTAATGCGGTATCGACCTTTCCGTGCGAAACTGCCAAAATTAAAATAGGCGGTCTTCGCGAAGTTAGAAAAAATCGTAAAATTGTCGATTACGCAACTTAAACATTTATTGAGGTCGGAATAAATTAACAATCTCCGGAGAGTTGAAAAACGTTGCGTTGGTTAAAATTTGAAATGCGTTAATCAGTGCAAAACTAGGACTCATCGTACAGATGAAATAGCTAAGAATGAGAAGGGTACAAACCATCTTGTTAGACTGTGTCATTTAATTGTGGGTAATGAATAGAACAAGGAAGCAGTGAAAGTTGCTGCTAAGTAATATTTTGGAGACTTTGGTGTAAAATGGCTTTTAGTTGAATTAATTTGCATTAGAATGGGCTTGTTCTACTGTTAACAATTATGAATTTTGTGACAGTCTTTCATAACTTCATATGCTGGATGTGGAAGAGACTTGTACATAATTAAGGGATGCGTCATATTATTATACTACTATATAACATTTCTTCTTGCATGTCGATGTTTCCATGTCGCCTTGGCGATGATCATCAAGTTAAAAGCTCCATTTTAAGGGTGAGTAAGGTGTCCAATTTCTTCAATTCGTAAGAATGTTTCCAAGAACATTAAACAAGGGACTTCTAGGAGGGGACAGATTCGTATGATGATTCTCAAACAGACATCTGCTTTTCTAGTAAGACTTTCACGGAGATTTAGAAAGAGATTACTAAGATTCCCATAGATTATTAACTGCTACAGCAGAATTTCTTAAACATGCCATAATTTCTAACTCGCGAAGGGTTGCATTTATATGCGCAATTGGAGGGTTATTTGTAGACATTTTAGTCCTATTCAAGCGAAATATTTCTGAACAGTTACAACCCTCACAATGAAAAATTCGCTGCAGCTAGCACAGATGTCACCCGCGCACCGTATTCTGCCCTTATTTTGTCCAAGAATATGTGTAGGCTAAATTTGGTTCCAATCGGTTCAGCTATTTAGCAGGAAATGAGAGTATACAGACAGACAGACCGACATCGTCGAGATTTTGTTTGATTCGGAGTCCTGGTGCATCAAAAAGTGTATTTCCCTAAAAAAAAGTGGGAGGGGAGGCATTTTTGGCCCCAGTGCAATCCCCCCCCCCCCTTATTATGTTGTCAAGAGTGTGCTGATTGCATAACAAGAGACACAGCTGTCATATGTCAAGTGGTCCGCGTATCTACATTTCTTGCACGTTAGTGAGGGGGGGGGGGTAATGCCCTGGGGTAAAAAATGAACCACGAAGCCACGAAGAATAAAATTCATGTGGTGCTTCCGGTCCCGACTTCAGAAATTTTTTATGTTCCCTCCTGGTCTTAAGCACTCATCGTAATTACTTTTTTGATTCAGTGGTAACTGTAAAGAAGAAGTGGAAGGAACTTTCTGATTCCTTGTCGGATATAAAGCACCCTAGAGCAGTAAAAGGAGACGTCTCACCTGTAAAAGATGCAAGCATGGCTATTTGGGACACATTACAGACTACGCACTTGCATTTTCCAACAACTTTTGAAGAAGTAAAGTCAAACACGCAACAATTCTGGAGTAATTGGAGTTTCCCGCCGCTTGTTTTTGCTTCCAGTGAACGACCTGACTAAGATTGTTTGACACTACTCCCACCAAGGAAGATCTTTCTTTATATCGCATTGGATCAGGATCTGCATCGACCTTAATTGCTATTTATGTCGATGATCTCGTTATTTCATCAAAAAATCAACAAATTGCCAATGATCTGATATCTTTTCTTAGTAATAGATTTGAGATGAAAGATCTGGGAAACATTCGATATTGCTTAGGCATTGAATTTGTCCGAAATAGAGATGGAATTTTTATGAGTCAAACGGGATATAAATGTACTTTTGAACCGTTTCGGAATGACTGATGCCTACTCCAACGAATAAGTTTGACACAAAATCCTATGCTGGGTCATGTTTGGAGAAGGCCCAATATCTTGAGACTCGAAAAAACATAAGACGGTGGCTTTTCCCTCCAAAGAAGCAGGGCATATGGCTCTGACGAAAGGAACTAAGGAAACCATCAACTTTAAATCGTTTCTTATGGAATTAGGAATAATTTGTTTCAATAAAATAGTTATCTATGAAGATAGATATATTTTAGTCACAGGCGATCCGAGGAACACAACTATGTCGTGCACCTTAAAACTTACAACCTTTCCAATAGAAAATTGAGATGACAGAGAGAAATTGCTTTAAAAAAATCAGTAATTTTAAATTGGCGAAGGGTTGCAATGAGTAGTTCGAGGGTTGTTTGTAAGAGATTAATCGAAATTCTCCAACAAATTTTGAAATCATTCTTGGTAACCTTTGAAGTCCTAGACATGTTAAGAACACTTCTGAATCCTAATATAGTTCTTAGAATATGCGCAATATAAGTTTAGGAAATTATACTGTTACGTAAAGGGTTCTAGGTAAATTAATTTCGTTATTTACCTGTCGGTAACTGTGGTCATTTGATCAATGACACTTTTTGAAATCTATCGAAGTGTATGTATGAAAAGACGGTTTTATAAAAGTCATCCTCCCAATTTGTGATAGTTTTTCTTTAGAAACGAATGAAACGAAGTCTAAATGTGCAGAAAATGTGGAAATTGAGAAGTATTTTTTTATTGCTTTACTTCGAGAGTTGTTGAGTTAATTAAAAACCCATACACTCACGGCAAAGTTAACAAAAAAAAGGGAAAAAAAATGGGAAACTGCAGCAATATTGAAACGTGGGTTTTACTAATTAACTTTTGGAAATATTGCGGCGACCTGTAAAAATTTTACAAGTTAGTAATCTAGTAATTTCATTGGCCAGAATTAATGCGAAGTCTCTGTTACATGGATAACATGATATTTTAGACATTTCTTCAAGATTAATTTAAGAACTACGTTTACTATTGTTTACAGATGAGTAACAAATAAAATATTGTACATTATACGCCAGGTAATAGTTTTTACTGGCTCTAGGAGATGACAAGCTCGCCTAACGGCTCGCTAGTCAACTTCTCCTATCGCCAGTAAAAACTCACTTACCTGGCTAATAATGTAAAATACTATTACATCCCCTTTACGCCCACAACCGTCGATTTTACGTAACTGATTGAAGGAAATATACACTCACCAGCACACGCTTTTTAGTCCGTCGTCCGCCGGCTCCCTTTTCGCCTTCTGATACTTGTAGGCGGTTTCCGCGTCCGTCTTGTTCCTGTGATGGTGGTGATGGTGGTGGTGATGATGGTAGCGGTTACGCTGCGCCGCCTCCTCGAGTTCTTGTTGCTTGTTCGTAGCTGCTTGAATTTCGGTCATGGCAGCAGAGTACCTGCTGAAACAGACCTCCGTATCGCCCGCGACCCTCTGCATGCAAGGGGCGTGCGACAAGAACTCCTCCTGGTAGGTGCCGTTCCTGCAGAGGTCGTTCGCCATTGATGCGGTGCCGTGGAAGAGCTTTCTGAAGTGCTTGCGTTGCTGCAGATTCATGCAGAGTCGACTGTATCCGTGTATGCATGTCAGTGACTTTTCCAGATCCCTGAAAATGAAATGTGTGTGTAACCGCCTAATGAGAATCTTTTTATTCCCCTTATTTGCTAAGTACACGAAAAATATCGCTCAGCCGCATAAAAAGAGCTCATTAATTTAGGAGATAAGTTGGCGCTGACTTGGCGTGCAAATAAGAGTTATACGTTCCGTGCCCACCGATGGAAACTTTCGCGAACTTACATTGTTATTTTTTTCGGGGGTCTTAATTAATATTTGTGTGTTTTGTATACAATCCTAGTTTGTGGAAGTTTTAAATAACGTAAAACAAAATATTCGAGTTTTGGAAAGTATAAATAACGAGGCAATATTTTCCTGACAGCTTTATTTATAAGAAAAGAAATTCGCGGAGAAAACTTTTCTAGTGCCTTTAGGTCAGAATGTACTTAACTTTCCCATACATATAAACAAGTCCATCAAAAACTTTTTAATCTAACAGATTTTCTCGAGACACATTGTTTAAAATGTAAATAAATCAAGTTGGCAATTGCAATTCGAAAAAGTTGAATATACGATTTCGCTAAAGCTCGAGGCCCGGGGCGGATGGGATCATTGCGAAATGCACATTCACTTTTTCTGAGCTTCTAATATGTGAAAAACAAACAACCGCAATTAAATTTTTATAAAACACACCACAAGGGCTAAACTTGCCTTAGAATGGTATTCTCGTAAACCGTGGAAAAAGAAGACTGCTACCTCATGGCATCATATGATGGTGGCAGTTTCCGTGCTTAAAAAAGTTGGTCAGCACACGTGAAGAACGAGAAGTTTAAATCAGGAAATCGGAACAGACCAAAAAGGACCAAAGAAATCAGAGCTTAATATAATTGAAGGGTTATCCACTATTGTAAAATATACACGAACACGTTAAATGCATTGAATTACTGATAAACACCGATACTGTATACTGCATATACATGCATTTGATTTTAAAGTAAAATTTTGGTCGAAACAATTTCGATTGGGTTGAGATTGTATAAAAATCTAAGTTATACACGAAGATTTGGGGATTTGAAAAAGTATGTTTATTGAGAATACATGGTAAATACGCGATGCAATTTTCAGGTAAAAAAATGGACAAAATTAGTAACTTACGCAGATTCGGACCTTCAGACTGCAGTATTTATAAGGGTCTATGGACTCTCTTACTAATTGCGTAATTTTTTGATAACTGCATATGGTAAGAGTAAGTTTTCTGAAAGTTACCCTCGTTTCCTCCGGCTTGCTTCCACCCGCTAAACGGGGGAAAGAAGTTAAGTAACGTGAAAACCCACTAAATCGCTACTAGCGGCTCATGCTATTGGACCGATTTTTTGAGTTGGTTGTGGTCTTAAATTGTTCAGATAACAGTGGTTAGTTAGAATAATAAACCCTGCCACATACCACCAAATCGGTGCCACAGCGAAATAGCGAGTTTTAGTAGGTTTCGCGTCACTTAACACTTTTCTCCAGGCTATAGCAAGTGAAGCAAGGGGAACGAAGTGAAGGAGAACTTTCATAAAATACTTACCTTATTCATATACCAACCGTCACGGAAAAATCAGCTAGTTACTAATTTTGTCTAATTTAGCGCAGAATTATTCAAGAATTCTCAAAAAGCACGGATGCCGAAAAATGATTTTTCGCAGAGGTTTGTAAAAAAAAATCCTATAGAAGTTTCAGGCTGCTCAAGCATACTGACCCGAGCCACGAGAGTTTTTTTTATTTAGATTATTTAGAAAAGACTTTCAAAAACCTTTGGCTAGTAGGAAATTCTTACTGTTACCATTGAATAATAAATCTGAATAGAAGGTCAGTGAGATAGGAGAAAAGGTGGCCAGTATTCATTATCTAGAATGTGCTGGTATCGTACGGCAAGTAACAAAACGTGATTAAAGGAAACTCTTCAACATTTTTTAATTCATACAATATAGCCGAGATACTCACTTCAAAATGAGTAGAGAGGTGAGAGAGAATGTTTTGACTACGGTGACATCATGCCATTGATAAACTTACGCACGTCGGTAACTGGATACCTTTGATACAACGATCGTCTAAATATAGTTTTCAGATGAATATCCGACTTAATGTTTTAACAAATTATAAGTTCTTAATTCAATAATAACAGCGTTGTTGCAGAACGTAAAAAGTCAATTATTGGATACAAGATAATTAGACAACAATATGCTATGATAATATGATAAAAGGTCCGTTCACTTAGCCAAAAATGAACTAATTTTTTTTACGTATTGTGCCTCAATAATCATTTGTGCTCAATAGTGCATTTATGCGCACCGTTTGTGCCTTTTTGGTTTTGGAGATAATAGGACAAATCAAATGGGGGCAACTTAAATCGTTATTTTACATACGAAATTAGATCATTCACTATAGTAGTAGGCGAGAGACGCTTTGTAACCCCAAGGCCCATTCTCCAAACGAGTACCTATAACTTTTGTTTGAAAAGTTATTTTAAAATTTTGTTCCTTAACTCATCCAGTATGTACACAACCAATTTCGTGGAATTCTCTCCATTTTCGTTGTCCGGCCAAGAATTGCAGTGGAACTTTTTTTTCGAATTTTCAAAAACTAATTCCAGATTCGTGATTTTTATGTTCAAAAACCGCCAGGCACCAAATTTCGTCGAAGCAGGGGTGCGCCCTTCCGTGATAGGAAATTTGAAAATTTTTTTCAAAATCGGAAAGGGCATACCCGAAAACCTAATTAAAAACGTGTCACTTATCATTGTAACTGTTGTGTAGTGATTGTTTCAGGTACGGTGAAAATTTTTTTGCGGTTTTAGGTCACTAAGTAGGTCTATTTTAAGAATCCGCCCAAAAATGTCTGCAAAAAATACAAAAATTAAATTTTTTAAAAATATGGGCATGTAGCACATCGATTTTAGGGTTTTGAAGTTTTCTGAATTTAAATTTTTAGTTAAAAATGTTTTTGGGGGCATTTTGGAGGAGTGGGGGGTGTTTTTAAGGGGTGGGTTTTTATATTTTTTCAATATTAACGTGTCGTACATCGATTTATATGTTTTTATGGATAAGGATCCCGAATTCCATATCAAAATGGAGGTACAGCAAGTTATTCAATGTTAAAAAAGTAGAACGACGCCGACAGACGGCCCGAAAATAACATAAAACGCGCGGTACGCCTCGCCCGCGCTGCACGACATCATTTTAATAAAAAGATAATAATTTTGACGCTATCTTGTATATCTTTCTAGGATTTATTCAAAAATCATACTTTGACATCAAAATTGTAATCTCCACCCCAAGAAACCTATAAAAAGACGTATTGCACTTGTTATAATTATTATCTTTTTATTAAAATGATGTCGTGCAGCGCGGGCGAGGCGTACCGTGCGTTTTATGTTATTTTCGGGCCGTCTGTCGGCGTCGTTCTACTTTTTTAACATTGAATAACTTGCTGTACCTCCATTTTGATATGGAATTCGGGATCCTTATCCATAAAAACATATAAATCGATGTACGACAAGTTAATATTGAAAAAATATAAAAACCAACCCCTTAAAAACACCACCCCAATCCGCCAAAACGCCCCCAAAAATATTTTTAACTAAAAATTTTAATTCAGAAGGCTTAAAAACCCTAAAATCCACGTGTTATATGCTCATATTTTTTAAAACTTTAATTTTTGTATTTTTTGGCCGCCATCTTGAATTTCTCAAAATGCTCAAGGGTGTCAAGGTGGCATTCTCAAAGTAGACATCCTTACGAACAAAAACCGTCAAAAAATCTTCACCGTACCTCACTTCCAGGTTAAGCCAAAAATCCCAGTTTGGCATCCAGACTATTAGGGAAGCGATTTAAGAATGAAAGGACACGGTTCATTTTTGGGCTAATGGGGGGCTAAGTGAACGGACCCTATGATGTATGTTCTCTTGATTTATTTTTTGACGGTAAAAAACATTCCATTGAATGCGATTGACGACTGCGTCTTTTCTCTTGCTATGGAAATTCATAATAGCTTTGAAATTTCTTATTCGATCCGTAAACTCGAGAACTTAAGAGGCCGTTCTCAGCATACGACTAGGAAAGCGCTTCAATAGAAATTATATGGGTCGAATAGCGTGTCTAGGTGTGGGACTTAGTATAACATTTTGAGTAAATTGGATTCTATACCGTGTTGTTACGTTGTTAGGTGCCGATGTAAAGATAAAGGACACATCTATGCCTCTATTGTAACAGATTTTTGATTTAATACTCGAATTTTGCATAAATAATTGTAGAAGTACTTGATATTTATGGTATTTTCAGGTGCCGTAATTATTATCTAATATTTAAAAAATATCAAAAATATGTTACAAGAGAGACGTAGAAAAAGGTTTAGAAGCAAACGTGCCGGCATGGCGTTTTCGAGTCTTCGTTTCGTAAAAGTGCAATACAATTTCTTTCATGAAGCCGATTTAAAAAACCTTTCATTTCACATCATAATAGATTATATTGCACTTCTCTCATTTGAATTTTAAAGTTGTTGTTTAAAGTAGTACTTAATTCCAAATTTTGTCTCAAAAACATGTTATTTGTGAATTTATATACGGAAACAGCAATTAAACAATATCTGTAAATGCTCGCACAACTGAGACTGACAGTATATTGCATATTCTGAAATATCCCAAAACATTGTCTATAGGTACAATAATAGTAAAGTTTAATTTCGATCTTAAAGTCTACATAAGGTAAGATCGTTGGAATCAAGATTTACTTGTAAGTTGATAACTTTGACGTCATTTCCTAAAGAGGTGTGCAAATAATAACATGTATTACGTAAGCATAAGTTTGTAAATACAGAGATAATATTGCAATACGATCTTCACCTGCTGTTACAACTCCCACGCAGTCTACGAGATAAGTACGCGAAAGTAGCGTCATCTAAAGAAATCTAATCACTTTGATTCAGTTGAGTAGGTGGTATAAAACCTCGATTAAAATTTAGTTACTTTTGATAGTTATAAATTCAATGCTTTTAATAAGCGGAGTTTGTCCCAGAGGGCAACCTACGGAGAAACTCCGTTAAAGTGGACCCTTCAAAAAGCATTGCGTTGTCTTTCTATTCAGATTTATTATTCAATGGTTTTGGAGAGTGCAGAATAAACAAACTGGACGCGGTAAGAGTGACTGAAATAGTTATACCACCACCTCCCACTTATCTTATTATACTATATTTGTGTATATTTCTGTGACTCAAACCTGCTTCTTTCGTCGGTCGATTTAGAAATCATGCACCGGAAGCAACAGCAATTATATGCGCCCCTAAGCACAATGGCACGGGATAGGTATTTCAAATCAATCTCGAACCATGGCATAAACCTCTCGCAACATGTTATAAATAATAAGACAGGCATCCTACAAATAAACCTCTGTTTGAAACGTTGGATCACACAGTCTTATGAATGGTAAGAGTAGATCTATATAAGAGCTAGGAGATTTAGCTGACCTGTGATCGTGCGTTAAAATTGAAACAATTTTGAGGTACTGTTTATCGATAATAACAATTTATTTTCACAAATACAAATATTACTTAAAAATTAATTCAAAACATCACATTTCCAGATTTTATACATTGTAATGAAGGTAAATGACCCAGTGTTAGTTACTAATTAGCATTTATAAAATATAGGTAGTATCATACAGGTAAAGCAATAGCAATGGAATAAGAAACGTAAATAGGGCAAATCTGTTCTATTACAGCTTTCCGAGAATCGCAAAGAGATGCTTATCGATACAATTTGTCATCCTAAGAGCAGTTTGTCCGTGCGACTCGCCTGCTGGAATATTTTTACAACTAAAAACTGCCTGAGTCCTTATCTCTACCCCGATAGGAGTGTTGTCATCTGGTTTTCCACCGTAATGCTTTCGAGCGGCAGTACTAATTCGTTTCACTATTTTGTCAGAGTTGAAAGTACCATCTTCATTTTGGAACTCTATTGATTTCCAGTAGCAGAAGAAAAATAAGTTAAACTGGGTATCGTTTTCAGGAAGAAATTTGTCGGAATCATTTGAAAGGATCGATTCAATGTGACTTCTGTCGAGGTTCAAGTCCTTTATGCATTTTACTACGTCGTCGGGAAGATCCATCCCCATTGCCTATAAATAAACAATAAATTGATTAAACTGATAATTATTGCGAATGATTTGTCTTTACCAGAGAAGCGCATAGGAGCAGGCAGATTGCAGTAAAGGTGTTCATGGTGGCAGGTGTTGCAGTTTACAGTTGTAAAACTATTCTGTTTCAAAGTTATAAAATCCACCGATTATATACGCAAGTCGTGTTTACCTTTATATGAAGATAGGATATGATAGGATAAGAATTTTGTCGCTTTAAAAGCTTTACCAGCTTCTCCTTTTCTAGTCGGTACTAGTAAAGTAGTAAAATCGTTGCAGTTTCGATTTTTTTCCTTGTATTGTTATTTATTCCGTAATAGTGGTGTTTATTACTTGTTTGTCTCAAACGGCATCTATGTTGCGTTCTTTTTGCTCTCTTTGATGCGATTGTAGGTTTCTTCGATACTGTGATATCTAAGTTGTATTCATTTTTAGTCTATTTATATTTTATTGGAAGAGTTCTGTTCTTGACTGTTTTTGGAGTAGTTTTATGTCATACAGTATGTAAAACGCCGTGTCTATAGTCCCGTTAATAAACGGTGATCTATTGCGCTCCCGTCAAGCGATTTGAGGTCATAAAAATGACGGCGTTAATGGAAACGCTAAGCGCACCACTCGTCTGGCTTCACTAATATGCGTGTTTCCTTTCCAGTTACGAGTATAACATAGTTCTGTTCTAGGTTCTGTTATATTCGTAGAAAGTTCGTGAAAAATCGACTAAGAAGTGTTTTTACGGAGTTATCAAATGTTCGCGATTTTTTTAATTAGTTTTTTAAGAGTTATTGTCGACGTTTTCATTTGGTGTATAACTTACTTTCTCAAAAAAGAACCATTTAGAATTGGTAGATACTGCAAGAAGTAGGTACCACAGCGTAATACGATCTGAGGCGGTAGACGGTCGATTTTAGCATACTCGGTTAGGCCAAAGTGGAACTCCATTGGTTATAATTTCGATCACTCTCGTTCAGTGGATTTCGAGCTAACTCCTCTGCTATTAGGAAGTAACCATTTTATATCTGCCACTTCATTCAAAAATTGAGTAACTTGCTCCCTTGTTAGGTAGTTCATTTTGTTGGGATGCAACCGACGGTCTGACGTGTCAAAAACGCGATGGTTTTGCAAAATTTGTTAACGTTCAAATTTTCTTTTATTGCAAGACTACTCTTAATCATTGAAAACCTACTCCATAACGTACTTGGTTCCATAGATTTTCCTCTTTTCGATAAATAGCAAAACACTATCGGCTACTTTTTTTAACGAGCGCATTCAGTTGCATACGACTATCAAATCTTTAAGTGGGGGGGGGGGGGAGTTAACGGACCCCGTACCTTCATAGGTATATGATTTTGTCGTTTTTATTGGGGGGGGGGGGGTAACGGACCCCGTACCGTACCCTTCATAGGTACATGATTTTGTCGTTTTATTAACGATCCTCGAGATCGTGTATAATTTTGTATTGCTGTCTGTCTATCCGTCTGTCTGCCCCCGTCCGTCCGTCTGCCCGACCGTCCGTCTGTCTCCCTGCCCGTGTGCACGATAACTTTGTGTAGAAACGTCCAATCGCTTTAAAAATTGATACACATGTTCTTCAGAATATAAGAAAGGTCGCTACATAGACTAACGATCCAAAAAGTTATAGCCCAAAAGCTGCCCAAACCTCTAAAAAGGGTTTCTTTTATTCTTGTTACAAAGGACATCTGAATGTCTGGGTTTTCTGTGTTAGGAAATATTCCTTAAACCTCAGGCAACTATGCAGATGAATATAAAGAAACTGCGCATGCGCAACCCGACTTTTGTATTTGCGCAATCCTCATTTTTTTATGTGTTAAGATATTTAAATGAAGTTTTGTATGTACGCACCTCGAATAAAAGTAAAACTAATGCCTAATTCAAAAAAATTGTTTGCGCATGCGCAATCCCAATTTTTGTTATGATATTCAAATGAAATTTTGTATGTGGGCACCTTGAGTAAAAGTAAAACTAAAGCCAATTCAAAACATTTGTTTTACTGATCTGGTGGAACAGAATCAACCCCTTAAGGTGTGTCGTAAAAATGATATATGTGTAAAGATATCGAGGATTGTTCGGTATAATATTAAGTTGTATCGAATTTTTAGAATTTACGTTGCAGGCGATGTCTCAAGCTTCAGAAATGAATGCTAGTGATTCAGAAAAGTTGCAGTAGAAGTGGTAGGTTCACTATGCTTCCGCATGTGCAATTGTTTGCGTTTTGTTCGTCCGTCCAGAATGATCCTAGACTTCTGGAATTTTTTCCAATATGAAAGTGTGCCAGACGGCCATCAAATTTCATTTTCAGCTCAAGAGCTCAGAGACCCCCCATGAATTACTTCCTGAGATTCTGTTTTTGAATGTAACTTTTACATGCGACAACCAACTGGTCTCAGTAACATTTTTGAAAATGGGGTGGGGGCGGGAGTGAACACACGTTCTACCCTTCATGGTATTCTAATGAAAGGTCTCGCCGAAATGAATTGGTTTGTACAAACTATAACTTTCTTGCGCGACTCCTTTCCGAGATTACTAGTAGGTGGCCAGGAGAGGAGGGAGGAGGTAGAAATTATTTGATCTTTCATGGTATTCCAATTAAATGTCTCAACAAAGGAAACGGTTGTCTACCAACTACCGCCCTACTTTCGGATTCCTTACCATAAGAGAGGATTGGGGGAGGGGGTGGAACTGGTTTTATCCTTGATGGTACTCTAATGAAAGGTCTCATTATTTCTACTAGCCATAGCCTCTTCTTCGACTCCTTATCGTGATCTGATATAAATAATTCCTTATATCTCAAGATCAGATGATCGGAGGGTGGTACTCACAAAGGGCGATTGGGACGTCTTGAAGAAATATATCTATTGGTGATGTCAAAACTTTAAGATCGGAGGTGAGTACTCACAAAAACAAAATGAATTGTTTGGAAGAGACATATCTATTGGTGGACTCTCCCCAATAATAATCTAACAAAGGAAACATTGATAAATATAGCATGCTACTTACTAGGTACCTTAAAACCCATCCATTTACAAAAATATTTCGGTTTAAAAAAATGTGCTTTATCTGCACAAGAGTTGTGTACAATTTATACTTGTTAACTCCTGTCGGTGTACCGTCATCTTGACTATTCTCCCTTGGTGTCTATTGCGTCTTTTTGTCTGCAGAAGAACTTGACTGCCAACTTTCTATCATGTATGTACTGAGCGATGAAGCAAATCAGAATCGATAACCTAAATCTGACAGACATAGGTATTATACAATATAAAATTGTTAAAGAAGGCTACTTAGATAATCAGTTTTGGTGTTTAGAACAAATAATTATGAAAAATAAGTAATGGAGTACATTCCAAAACCGAAAAAATCATACCGCATACGTTCTTTCTTCGAACTGATGCGGCAATTCGCTCTAACGATACTTTGTATTTTAATATACTATTCCAGGGAACACCCTACACCGACAGTACTTTCGGAGAGGTATAATGAAAAACGTCTTTCAATTACGTTGAATTTATTTCAGCAGGTGGAATATGTAGACTTTACATCCCAATTTACATCAATCAACGACGTTAGACACAAACAGAATATGATGAAGTGCCCGAGTAAACTTGAATCTGCCAATTCCCTTTAGTGTGCTTTAGCCTAATTAGTAATAGTTTTATAACGTTAACTTGAATGAATTAACTTAAAATTATTCACCAGTTATATTGATATTCGAAGAATCGCGTAGGCACACATTTTTCGTGGTTATTACGTAAAAATGAGATATAAACAACATATAATTAAAATTTTAATTGGAAACTGAAAAACCTAAACCAAATTAACCGAAACTCATTTTCCGAATGTTCCTTTTGCCTTTTTGATGTAGAAAGTGGCAGTGAAATGAAATATTTCATAGCTGACTGTTATAATTCGTATAAACATGCATTATAAAATGTATAAAATGCGTAAGGTTCAAATGTGAAACACATGTACATTTTCTACAAAAGGTATCGATTTCGTACCGAATGTTTCAGAACGTATCTTTCCAAATACTGTAGATTAAACGCTCATGCACCAATTACCTCGTAATTGAGCTCTTATAGAGGATAAATAAGTTCATGAAATTTGAGGCGTATATGTAAACTCGTATCCATACACTATAGTATTTTTCAAAATAAGACTAAACCTAACCCGCCAATTAATTCGCTCCGCTGTTTCACAGAATACCTCTCATTAAAGAAAATCCATCTTTTCATAACGGCTATTGCCCAATGTTATACGTTTTCGGACATGTACTACAACTTTTGTCTGTTATTATTACTACTGCTTAACAGCTGACAAACACTATAAACTATAAGGACAAGTTTTGTGCCGATTTCTCCGATAATATTTAATTATAGGTACCTAATCTAATCGACAGAAGTAAAAACAAAGTGTAATTATTTTCACAAAAGTGGCAAGTTTTGTCAATACCGATAGTGCGATTGTATTGAATTAATTTAGTATCGGTACTTATGGCACGTGCCATTGTTATGTTAATAGGTTTCTCCAGCCCGCGTCTTTTGTTAGACAATACATTTGGCAACGTTACCTTCCATAAGACCAATACTGATCTCACGCACGGACCGTTCTTTTAAAGAATGGTGTTCACAGTGATGGTGTAGTTTGAAAAGAGCCTCGTCAAAATGCCTTCCGATTAGATTATACACGTCTATGGCGTCATTAAAAATTGCACGTTGACACATAAAGGTTGGCCACCCACCCCTGTTGTAGAGCACAGCGGAAAATTTGAAGGCCCTTAAAAAGGTGCTTTAGTACAGAGGTTTATGATTTTATGAAGATTTTTAGGGCCGGTTTTTCATATTTCAAATAAACTTTCTTGATAATATAGCTAATCTCCTACTTTAATACATTTGTTTCCATGGAAATTACTGTCACAAAACCGGCCCTTGGCAAAATAAGCAGATATTTACGAATGTTTTTTATTCTTCTTAGGCTAAACAGTTATGAACGGAATGATTTCAAAACACGCATGCATTATTGCTTGATTCTGTTTCATTTTGTGATGGGGAAAATTGTCAAAATTTTGCACCTTCAAAATTATTTTCTGCGTCATGATTGCAACAAATTCAAAAATGTATATACCTATTGCTAAACAGAATTCAAATCCCATTTAAACAAGTACAACGCGGCCCTCTTTTTCATTTAAGATTTTTGAGAGGCGATCCTTACAATTCAGAGGGAGTGCTAGAAGGGTGTAATATTTTCATACCATAAATTGTCATATGAAGAATAGAAATCGACATTATTTTCAGGTTTTTTTCCCAAAAATTAATTATTCAATTCAATTCGACCGCTCTGAATGGTATACAAGGTTTATATTATTTAATTAATTAATTAATTAATTATTTTTTAATTATTTATTATCCCTCTCTTGTTCTGGGCCTTCAACAGGCTTGCGCCCAATTACAGAGTGACCCGCATAATGCTATTTAGAGGTGCCTCTGCAGAAGGTCTTAAGTTGGTCTATACTACTCCGGTATTTACCTTACGAATTAGGAAAACTGCAGGAAAACCTAATTCGGAGTAGCCGGCAGAATGCTCGAAACTGGTCTAAGGTAATTCCTATCCTATCTCTGC